AATGGCAATTACCATTTAACCTCAACAAGTGCGGGATCATGCACTTTGGAAAGCATCCCTATAAACCGCGACTTCACTTAAATGAATGTAGAGTCCAAACACTCGAATCAGTACACGATTTAGGAATTAATTACACAGGAAGCCTAAACTTTGAAGAACATGCCTCCTCTATTATTTCTAAATCTAGACGGCTAATTGGTTTTATAATGAAAAACTTTTTCACAACAGAGGGTAAACTTACTCTCTACAAAATATGTGTACGACCCTCCCTTGAATACTGCTCTTTTGTCTTCTCTAATATGAATATCGCAGACAAGATAAGAGTAGAAGATGTTCAAAGACGTTTCACACGTCAACTACTAGGATGTAACTCGAATCTCGATTACACAGAAAGATGTAAGCATCTATCTTTAGAACCTTTATGGCACCGTAGGCTAAAAAACAATTTAATATTTCTCTACAAAGCGATATATGGGCTCTCCTTTCTAACCTCCTGCCCGACTATCACCCACGACCCAGCCTATAGACTTAGAAACAACGCATATACACTACTTACCGTAAAACACCAAAAACAAATGCGTTGTAAGTTTTTTACAGTACGGTACAGTTTATTGTGGAACAGGCTGCCAATGCCTATCCGTAACTGTGATACGTTTACCAGATTCAAAAAGCTAATAACCCTATTTCTAGACTCCAAAGAGCTTCAACATTTCCTTGAACTCCCGCCCACCAATGAGGCACTTTATTACGGACCGCCTAGTATCTAGAAAGAACAAATTATAACAAGTTCGACTGTTACTAATATGAATATAACCAAATCACAGAATATATGGCTTATCCTTTCCTATTATTCATTGTTTATTAATCATGACTTCATGCTCCTAACCCTAGCTTTCAGTCCCAAATCTCTACAGGTTAAATGTACATTATTCTTCCTAAAAGTCATGCTTTTTTTTCTACTGCAAGTAGACAGATAGCTCAATCTTATGGATGCTGATCTACTAAGGCCGATCATACAAAGCTCAAAATTTGGCCACAAAGTCTTGTGAGTTTCTCAATGTTTTATTTGTCTTACCCTGAAATCTTTTTTTTCTACAATTTTATACCCTCTCATATCTTTTGATTTGCTATTAGTCCTTACTTCTTTAAACCATTAGTTATTTTCATAGCAGTGTGATATACTATATGGACATCTAACCCATAAAACGACTTTTCAACTATCTGATTTGCTTGTAACATGGACCTAGTAGAGACAGTGTATTCCAACTATGGGCTTTGATTAAAGCAGTATTCATACTTACCACAAACGTAAGAGAGCCTAACATCACAAAAGGAGGGAGGGTGGCGTTACTGACCAGCAAACATGAAGGTGGGGAGATAACTTCAATCCACCCATGTCTGTAGGGCAGAACATTTTGTTTAATTACGGCTCCTTATGGTTTAGTGGGATGTCACGAACTTATGGTATTGATGCTGATTTATCACGCAAAATACCTCATTAAATCGTGTTACGAACGTTGAATTGGTTTCACTTCCTACCCAGAAATCCTATTACAAGCAAACTAGACAATTCGCTAATATACGAAGCCTACTCAAGACCCTATAATACCTAAAAAAAAATAATTATACAAAAAAAATGAAAAGGGCTCTAATAGCTTCGATAAAAAAAGGAAGATAGCCAATTGTATATCACAATACTGTTTCTAGCACTATATTTTATTTTATAATCACACATAATCCCATACTTTCAGCTCCTTTACGAATCGCCTCCATTTGTCAGTTGTATGTCCACTCACACCTTGTTAACACTTATCATCTCTAACCTATTAAATGCTCTTTCTTAACAAATACCTTAGTAAAAGAAAATTAGACTGAGTAGTCATACCTTAAACATTCCTTCATGAATATTGGCTACGCTGCTCCTCGTGTTTTCTTTTACTTGCTCCCTCTTTCAGCCCCTTGTGATATGGAGAGGTAGATTTTATCCTGCACCATCCTCAAAGCCTTAGACATTCCGAAGGGACATAAGGTTGCGACATTTAGAAGCTCCCACCTTCAATGGACCTAACCTTGACAACCAGTTGCTCATTCGCAACGCAACTTTCGTAAAGCGCGCCAACTGTAGTACTGATTTAAACCATCTACATTCATATCTTATAAATTATCAACCCAGCTATGTAATTTACTACAGTCGATATTGAATCATTTGTATCAATTTGATCTTGCCTGTAAACTGGTATACCTCATGTAACAAACTGTTATTTGAGAACAAATTATTATTATTATTATTACTCATTATAAGTGTCATTATGGCTCAAAATAGACAATGCGTAGTGCGACATAGAAGTTGGCATCAGATAAAACATTAAGAGCACTGACATACAAGCAAGCACGCGCGAGACCTATATGTGTAGAATTACAAAGACATGAAAATAAGTGATATCTTGGATGGGCCACAGTTTCCTTTTATAAGAACAGTTATCGGGAAACTAAAAACTACTTAATAATCACATAATGTTTTGTTAGCCGAGTTTCTCTGAAAGCCAAATTAATCTCGAGTGTAGTAGCACTACATGCCACAGAATAAGTTCACCAAAATCAAGTGGTCGTTAGCAAATGCTAAACAGCTAAACCGCCAGAGTAGATACAAACGCCTTATTCAAGTTATTAATTTCCAATATAATTGACTTCAGTATGTTTTCAATTAAATTGCTTTTTTTCTGGGCAAAAAGTCAAGTAGGTTTACTTCATCAAAATACATACGAAAACCCCTTGAAACCGTCATTTTAGATGGTACACTGGAATTGTTGCCTTTCAGTATGTTTCAGAAATAATTTACATCATATGAGTTATACATAAGCCATGACATCAACGTTCATAAATGATGCCTTAACGACTCAAAGTAAAACCACCTTGTGAACAAGAATTAGTATGTCATAAGAATAACAATATATCTTCTTCCCATTACCTTCACTTGCCTTCATGTCAACTGTACGGTGTTTAAGTAATCCCCGAACCAACAATATAACGGTTATCTGTTGAAAGCGGGACTTCTAAGTTTCTTGTGTTGGTATGTTTGCACTGACATCAGTAGATTTCGAGCATTCCTTCTTGTGCACCTACACCTCAATTCGTGATTCCATATTAGTTCCTGGAGACTAAAGTTTTAATCTTTACGTGATTTGGATGTAACAGACTTCATATGGATAAGTCCAAGTGACGCATGACAACACAACAGTTCTGTTGACTTTGAACAAAATTAAGTTTATTAAGATTATGTGAGTCAAATCATAAGCGATTTAAAGTTACCCAGAGGTAGATTTAGCCTCCCCATGCACCTTAAGTACTGAAGATACTATAAAAAGCCCATATAAAAGGTTTGAGTACAAGTTAATTATCATGTAACTTAAACTATACAATAATTTATTGTACATATGAAGTTCAGAATTAGAAAGCGAGAGAAGTATAAAGCCGCATCTTGAGTTAAATTGCACACCATTTAATAACATCCAAATTATCTAGTGTAAATTGAAAATATCCTAATAATTTGGTGGTTTATCTTAAAAAAAATCAGAAGTATTAGATTCTAGTAGTGAACTCCAACCAGTCGATCTTTTGCTGCTGTTTTTACCAATAGAATACAATGGAATTTTAGCCAACCCACAGTAATCACAATGACAATTCCATTGTAACAGCTTCGTGGTTGACGGGACTCGTTAACCAGGGAAACTGAAATTTTTCATATAGCTCATGTTGACTATTAAGAATTTCATTTACCACTGTCTTCTTTTTATCTTAGTACTATATTTATTTTTCCATAGTTAGACCATAACAATAGTCCATTATTCATAATGAGTACGTTTCAGTCCCACCAACTTATTCCTTTGTTGTTTACGCGTAAACTTGAAGTTGCGCACCCACGGGCTTCAAGGTACAAAAAGTCAAGTGATTAGGCGATTTCTTACGTTATGGAGCCATCTGATTTTGCTATTGCCGTTTATGCCTCCTATTTGCGTACCCAAACCAGCCACTTGAATGAGAAAACCAAGTTGCTAAGATGCTTCCACTGTTTAAATCCAAATCGAATATATGTTGACAACTTATTCGTAAATATCTGCCTCTTAGAAAAGCAAGCCATCTTTTTAACGGATAGCATATCAACTGTCTCATGAAGTTAAGCCAAGTCTTGACCAGTAGCGTGAACTGTCAGCGTCCCTCACTTATCATTTGGTCCGTATTTGTTTGACTCAATGTATCAGAAATACTCTTGCTTCATATCGTATGTTCCAGTCATAGAATGTCATTAATAACCTATCCGAATTCAGTGTTACTCTTGTTATCTCATGAGTGCTGCACAAATCATTGAGAAAGATGTTCATTTTGTTACCATTTCAAACAAGTTAACACCTAGCGAAACACATATTGGCATAAAATGATACATCTACGTCGTGTCCTGATTTGTTTTTGTTTGTCTGTCCTCCACATTGATGTTTTACTGTAACCTAACTAAAACTGTAAAACTCACTTTATGCTGAAGTTTTCCTATTCGTTTCCCTCAGTTATATAAAATTATTTCAGACTACAAGTTATCAGCTTAGCTCTTGTTATTAGACAGACCCTGCCACTTGAAACCGCATCTGCATACTGTTCTTGCTAAAGTACCTTGTTCATATCTCTACCTCCAAGTTTAAATAGATTGATAAGGCACTTATGTTTTTATTTTCGAACTAGTGTTAACTCCACAGTTTCATTTGATGCGTAAACGAGTGCATATTGATGTAGTTCCAAAGACTCCGGAAGGAGGACATATAGACTTTCGACAAATTTCTGCAGAGGAAATTGAGTTTGACTCAGAAATAACATAAAGTCGTCACTGCTGCGCGAATGTAAACCAGGCAATGTTTGGTTTGAGGAAGGTGATTCAGATGATGACGATAACAAGTAAGAAGTATATTGTTCTTTTAAGTTTTATTAGGCCAAAATTCGTTGCTCGTAAATCTATGGATCTTCGTAAAATACGTTCAGAAAAAGATAGGTTCCAAGCTATCTGCTCTAGTCCTATGGTGGACTCTCGACCTCGAAGGCTAAGTTATTCAAAGTCTTTTAGTGAAGGTGTGTTAGATCCCAGTAACTCCAAAACTCCACTGCGTTTGCCTAAATATGATGATCTTGTCTCATCAGCATCTCGTCGCCTCTCCCGCATAATAATCAATCGTCGATTCTCTTTGTTGGAAACAAACCACAACGACCCATCTGTTGGGGTTCACAGTTAAAAACCACAACACCTATTACCAAGTACGAGAAACAAAGAGTTAAGAAAAAATGTTCGTCTGCTTCAGAAGAGTAAGTCAATGAAATATTTTGTATAAGTCTATTTACTTTGATTTATTGACTTTCCTGCCCAGTTATATACTAGGTTATACATCGTCATTATATTAATGCGTGATTTATACTGCCTGAAGATACAGTATCTTGTCAGATTCAACCACATAAAAATTACAAAATGTGCATCAATTCAGGGTAATGCACTTCTGATCGACGTAATAAGCGAGCGTTGAAAAAGACGTTAATAAAATTCAGAGTCTTTTTAACATCATCAGTAACATCCCCAGAATATTTAAGTGTATCTCCATCCCTCTAGATATAAAATGGTCTTTAAGACTTGAAAATGGAGACATATTGGATAATAGTAGTCAGTGGTTGAAGACGTTGGATAACATGGCTCGGAATCAATAGCAGTGATTCAGTTTTATTTGTTCTCTTCCTTTATGTCTTGAGTTTAATGTTTCTCCATACTTGCCATTTTACGATTTTATTTGCTCTTTTAAACTGTACTTCATGTTTAGCTTCCCATCCGAGTCGATATTACCCTTCCAATGCTCCTCATATTGCTAACTTCCCTACTCACTGTATCGATGTAAGTTGCGGCAGTTAGGACTGATACACATTTGTACCGTTTCATATGTTTCCTACATTGACTGACTCAGGAAAATAACTCGAACAAGTTAGATAAACACGGAAATAAGCATGACGAGAAGTCTAAACATGAGACGAACAGGTTTATATATACCAAGTTATTCTGACCTTAGAGAAAAGTAAGAAGGCATATCAAATTCGATTTGTCTCCAAATAGTGGTTTCTGGCATTAAAAGGATACCCGGTCGTAGCTCCTACCTTCACATGGCGGTGGGGCTTGCCTACCGTGACGGCCCAACCGAGCCATATTGGTTGGAACACATGTCATTTTAGGTCCTACCATGCCAGGCAGGCCGGTTGGAGAACGATAAGACTAAGAGCAGCAACTTATGGCCTGAGGGCGAAGTTGTATTGCTGACTGTAAAGGTGTGTGTCAGCAGTAAGGTGTTTTCCTCTGACAACCAACATCTGAAGTGATACTGTCTTTTCACAATGGGAGGAAGGGGTTGGAAAAGGTATACCCTAAGAATGTCACACTACATCTTACCCTACAGATTTCTGTCTCCGGCGGTAAGGCTTTTTGAAGTGTTGTGGTTCACGCATCAAAAACTTCTCATAAGGAGATTGGGCGACTGGCCTCACACTTGCCCCTTGGGCTTTGTGATCACGTTCTCAGGTCGCCAAAACTACCACTAATTCAGCTTTCTTTTTAGGACCCTCAAGAAGAAATATCCTTCCATTGTGTGGGAAACTGGGGAGTAAAATTCGCCTTCATTCTTCTGTCAGCGCCTGAGATCATCTTTTTGTAAATCGAATCCCTCCCTTACCTCCCAATAATTCTTCCATGCCACAAATAACCCTTTTCATTTGTCTCTGTCACCACGGGCGACCAATTAGTCAGTCAGCTACAATGTAGGACCATGCACATACATACACCGGTCCAAGTTGCCATACCTCATTAACACAACAAGATGAACACCGAATTGATAGAAGTAGTTAATTCAATGGTGGTAATATGAAAAGAAAGATTATGTACAAGGATATAGTACGAGAAGAAAGAATTAGTTCGTAGGAAGAACGATATGAAGCAATTTTAATCTCACAGTTTAAGGGAAGACAGAGAGCGTATAGCACTACGCTATTGTGATCGATTCTGAGCCACGTCACTCAGAGACTCCAACCATTGGTTACGATAGTTGCACGGACTCTAACCAAGTAGTCTGCATCTACCAACGTGGCTGGGACCAAAAGTGAGTGACTTTATGACGTGATTTCACATCTTGGCGACTAATGCTAATAATTTGAGTCCACAAAATGTTATTTCCAGTGTTCTCCAAGGTTGTCCGCTTTCCATATTTTTTATTTAACTTTTTCAGAAATAACACTCATCATCTTACTGTTCAGGGATTGATCTTCTACCAGGAGATTCACTTGTTGACTTAGAATATGCAGGTGATATAGTTTTGTTTGGTGAAGACGCTGACAGAATGCATTCTTACCACCTTAGGCAACAATACCTGGATGTTTGGGATAATTTGGGCTCAGTCTAAAGTAGGCTTATCCCCCCGTTAGTTGTTGTGTTGGTGACACAAACCCTGTTTAAAAATAAGGAAGACTTAACTCATTTGAGGACATTGTAACACTCTCTAGTTGCTAACCGTTTGCAAACAACTCAGTTCCAAAACCAGAAGGTCGCCATCGTTCTTAGAAAGAGCTGGAGGTATGTCATATGGACCTGGTGATCTGTAGCTCTTCAAGAATTCGTTTTTCTTGCGGACTCCCGCCTCGTTAGGTGGGTCAGTCGACACTGATCAGGGAGCGTAATGAACGAGAACACAGGTGGGGACAACTGAATGTATTTGAATACAAAATTACAGAACGTCTTAGTAAAATCTGAGAACAGTCTGATCAATGTCTCCGAAGCTGCAGACCAGATGAAGTGTTCCTCACAAAACTCTTCCAAAACGTCTGTAAATTATTAATTGGTTTCCCATCAGCTTCACAGATTGTTTCACTTACACCAAAATTTCTGCTGACAGTAGCACGGCTGGGTGAAAAGTGCTGTCAGTCACTATACGAATTATGCCAATAACTTATGGATCTAAAGTTTTATTTAAATCAATCTAGACTCGAGATAAACTGTCTGTAAACTCTGACGAATAGACACAGGATATGCTTTCTTTTAAGTAACCAATCGTCTTAAGAGAGGAAATCTGGTTGTTAACTAAAAAATAAACGTAGGTGATGAAGGTTAATCATTTTATACATTTCTTTACCTACCATATCTATGCATTAACTAATTAAACTGGATAAAAGTTAATAACGTAAGGTTTAGTGTGTTTGTCCAGTTAATTTGTTTCCAGATTTAACAGATTTCGAACGGATAATAGTGATCGTCTGCTGCAACTGTGCTCAGAAAATCGTTTATTTTTAGCAGACACTAATTTTAAGCATAAGGAAAGACATCGTCTGACATGGCGACTTCGTGCACCAAACTAACGATGGACTCAAAGAGACTATATTGCCATCATTCATCGTTGGAGAGGCCCGATAGGAGACTGTTGCTCGTTCTGGAATACATGCTTGGACTCCGATCATGCTCTGATATGGGCAGGCATTTGCTTGCACCTCACTGAACGCAGAAAAATCACACTAATAAGATCCATTAGAATTGAATTGAGTGATGAGAAAGCTGAAAGTAGGTTTCAAAAACAACTGAGGTCACACTTAGGTAGTTCTAAAAACAAGGCTGACCCAGATGTTGCTCGGAAAGATATACAAACAGCTGTGGAAACAGCAGTGACATCTATTAGTGATTTAAACCAAAGGGTTACAAAAAACGATGGATTTCTTCTAGGTGTATTGCACTGATGGATTCTCGTAAACTCATCCTACCAAGCTCTGGACACAATGAAGAGCGAAAGCAAATCAGATCTAGGTTAACTAAAAGTCTAAGGAACGACGGTGAGCAGTGGTGGGCAACGAAAGCAAAAGAGATGGAAAAGGCGGCGGTTGTAGGGAACACCAGACAGCTTTTCAGACTAATAAAAGTGTGAGTGAGACGATCACGGAAAAAGACGACACTCTTATCTGCTCTCAGCGTAGACGTTTTGAACGATGGGCGGAACACTTTAAGGAGCATTTCAGCTGACCTTCAGCTACTCTACAACTACCCACTATTCCCAGAAAACCTGAATGGGACATTGAAGTAGGCCCCCCAACTCTATCTAAAGTTCAAAAGGCCATAGCTAATCTGAAACGAGAATGAGCAGCTTGTCCAGATGGATTGGCTCCAGAGATCTTAAGTATATTGGTCCAGTTTTAGCGATCAAGTTGACTAAGATTTTAGCTAACATCTGAAAGTTGGACGTAATCCCATCTGACTGGTCACAATCACTGATTGTCCCAATATATAAGAAGGGGTCAAAATCATCCTTTGGTCAGTCAGTCAGTCAGCTACAACGTAGGACCAGGCACATATGTGCATCGGTCCAGGTTGCCATACCTCATTAGCACAACAAGATGAACACCGGATTCATAGGAGTGGTTAGGTCAAAGGTTGCAATAAGGATATAGTATAGGAAGGAAGAATTAGTTCGTAGAAAGAAAGGTATGAAGTGATTTTAATCTCTTAGTTTAAGGGAAGACAGGGAGTGTATACACCGACGCCATTGTGATCGATTCTGGGCCATGTCACCAAGAGTCTCCAACCATTGGTTACGAAAGTCACGCGGACCCCAACCAAGTAGTCTGCATCTACCAACATGGCTCAGACTAGAAGTTAGTGACTTCAAGCACTGATGCCACGTTTTGGTTTGGCCGCCCCTAACTTTTTTCCAACCATCCCCTACACCGGTTAGCATTGCACGTCGTGGTAATCGGTGTTCAGGCATACGTAATACGTGGCCCAACCATCTCAGTCGATGAAGATTCATAACCTCATCAACTGATTTACCATCATTCCCTAATACCCTGCGTCTAACCTCACTATTACTTACCCGGTGATCCCAGCAGATGCCAGCAATATTTCTAAGGCATCTGTGGTCAAATACTAGTAGCTTACGGGTGTCTTCTACTCTTAAAGGCCATGTTTCGCTGCCGTAAAGTAAGACAGAACGGACTGCCGCGCAGTATACTCGTCCTTTTATTGATAGACGGATATCTCGCCTCCGCCAAAGGTGACGTAAGTTGGCAAAAGCCAAACGAGCTTTACGAATCCGTGCTGAGATTTCGTCAGACACCAACCCATTAGGGCTGATCAGACTTCCAAGATAAGTGAAGTTGTCAACTCGTTCGACTACTTCACTCCCTATCCTTAGTTCAGGTGTTGACGCAGACCAGTCCTGAAGCAACAACTTGCATTTAGAGGGAGAGAAGCGCATCCCAAACATTCTGGCATTGTTGCTTAGTGCTACCAGAAGACTCTGCATTTTGTCAGCGTCTTCACCAAACAGGACTATGTCATCTGCGTATTCTAAGTCGATAAGTGGACCTCCTGGAAGGAGATCAATACCCGAGAATTCAGTCGACGAGAGTGTTATTTCCATCAATAGGTCTATGATGAAGTTAAACAAAAATGGAGAAAGTGGGCAGCCTTGACGGACACCACTTGAGGTTGCAAAAGTAGATGACAGTTCGCCATAAGCCCTGACTCGACTAGTAGTGTTCGAGTAAAGAGCCTTCACAAGGTTTATGTACTTCTGAGGTACGCCTTTCAATGACAGACACTGCCACAGAGTCTCGCGGTCTACAGAGTCAAATGCTGCTTTTAAGTCAAGAAAGACCACCATCGTCGGACGCCGATAGGTATGCCTGTGTTCTAGAACCTGACGAATGGTGAATATGTGGTCGATGCAGCCACGACCAGGTCTAAAGCCAGCTTGGTTCTCTCGTGTTTGTAGTTCACGAGTCTTAGTTAGGCGTTTGATAATTATCGAGGCCAGTATTTTAGATACTATGTTTGTTAAACTAATCCCTCTGTGGTTGTCACAGGATGATTTTGACCCTTTCTTATATATTGGGACGATAAGTGATTGCGACCAGTCAGATGGGATAAAGTCTAATTCCCAGATCTTAGCTAAAATATTAGTCAACCTAATCGCTAAAATTGGACCACCATCCTTAAAGACCTCTGGAGCCAATCCATCTGGACCAGCTGCCCTTCCTCGTTTCAGATTAACTATAGCTTTTGAACTTCAGCAAGAGTTGGGGGACCTACTTCAATGTTCCATTCACATTGTCTGGGAATGGAGGGTAGTTGTAGAGTAGCTGAAGGCCAGCTGAACTGTTCTCTAAAATGTTCCGCCCATCGTTCTAAACGTCTGGACTGGGAGCAGATGAGAGTATTATCTTTTTCCGAAATAATCTCACTTACACTTGACTTATTAATTCCAGTTTCTTTTATTAGTCTGTAAAGCTGTCTTGTGTTCCCTATAGTCGCCGCCTTTTCCATCTCTTTTGCTTTCGTTACCCACCACTGCTCACGGTCGTTCCTTAGACTTTTTCTTAACCTAGATCTGATTTGTTGTCGCTCTTCATCATGTTCGGAACCTGATGGGACGAGTTTGCGAGAATCCATCAGTGTGACAGACCTTGAAGAAATCCACTGGTTCCTTGTAACTCTGTGGTTTAAGTCACTAATAGATGTCACTGCTGTTTCCACAGCTGCTTGTATGCCCTTCCAAGCAACATCTGGGTCAGCCTCGTCTTCACAACTACCTAAGTGTGACCTCAGTTGTTCCTGGAACCTACTTTTGGTTTTCTCGTTACTCAACTCAGTTCTAACGGGTCTTTTTAATGTGGCTTTTTTGCGTCCAGTGAGGCGCAAGCAGATGCGTGCCCGTATTAGGGCATGGTCGGAGTCCAAGCAGGTACTCCAGAATGAGCGACAATCTTCTACCGACCCTCTCCAACGATGACTGATGGCAATATGGTCTATTTGAGTCCATCGTTGGTTTGGTGTAGGGGGTCGCCATGTTAGACGATGTCTCTCCTTATGCTTAAAATTTGTGTTTGCTAAAAATAAACGATTGTCTGAGCATAGCTGCAGCAGACGATCACCATTATCTGTTCGCTGTGTCGGAATACTAAAATATCCACCTAAATGCCTTTCTGTTTGGTTTAAGCTACCTATCTGAGCATTAAAATCACCTGCTACGAGTACTATGTCTGAGCGTTTAGCTTTCTGAAGAAGTTCAGGAAGCTTTCTGTAAAATTCATCTTTCACTTCATCTGAGCTGCAGTCAGTGGGAGCGTAGGCAGAAACGACAAAAAGGCAACGACGTGTGTCCCTATCCTTCCGAGTTCTTACGCAGCCGTTCAGCCGAACAGCACATAGACGACTGTTGACGGGGATCCACTCTAGCAGTGCTTGTTCGGCCCTCATGCTTAGTGCTATGCCTACACCTGCCAGTCCACGAGAACTGGCCATCGGGTCACCAGATACACGAAGGGTGTATCTCGTTGGCTCTCCGTTCTGCCGAGGTGAGGTCAAGTGAATGACCACACTGGGATCCTGTATGCGTGTTTCGGAGACACAGCATACATCAATGGAAAGAGACTCTAGGGTTTTAGCCAAGGAAGCCTGCTGACCGATTTGACATAGAGTGCGTACGTTGAAGGCTCCAATGTGTAGTTTGGAGCGAGGTTTCAGTAGACCTGGGACAGAGTTTTGAGCACTAGAATCGTTGGCTATGGTGACACTTGAGGAGGAAGCCAAAGGAGGAAGTTTAGGGTTGAAAGTCGATGTAGGAGGAATAATAGGAATTGAAGAGGAAGGTTGATTATGAATACAGTGGTCTTGGGTGCTGTTAGAGGTATGAGGGCGGTTATCACTTCCCGGTTGCCCACACCGTGGAAGGGTTCTTCTGGAGGTACCTGAAAAGGAAATTGGATTAGAGGTGGTCTCAGTGACCTGAGAGCGTGACCGCAGTGCCCAAGGGACAACTGCTTGAGGCCGGTCGCGCACGGCCTTTTCGTGGAAGGTTTTCGACGTGTTAGCTCCGTTCTTCAAAGGGCCTTACCGCCGGAGACGGAAATCCGTGGGTAAGGTGAGGTGTGCATTTTTAGGGTCGACCTTTTCTAACCCCACCCCTCCTTGTGGGAAGGCAGCATCGCTGTCATGCTGGTTGTCTGAAGGAAACACCTTACTGCTGTCACACCTCTGTACAGTCAGCAGTACGACTTCGCCTTCGGACCTTGGGTTTGTTGCTTTTAGTCTTACCGCTCTTCAACCGACCTGTCTGACATGGTAGGACCTTGAGGAACGGTTGTTCCAGCCAGTATAGCTCGGTTGCTTCATCACGATAGGCAAGCCCGACCACCACGTCAAGGTAGCAACAACGGTCGGGATCCTTTGGTAACCATAGAGGGATTAGTTTAACTAATATAGCATCTAAAATACTAGTCTGAGACTTGTGAACTAAAAACACGAAATAATCAAGCTGGCTTCAGACCTGGTCATGGCTGTATCGATCACATATTCACCATTCATTCAGAACATAGTCATGCTTATCGGCGTCCGACAATGGTGGTCTTCCTTGACTTAAAAGCAACTTTTGACTCTGTTGACCGAGAGGTTCTGTGGTAGTGTTTGTCATTAAAAGGTGTACCTCAGAAGTACAGAAACCTTGTGAAGGCTCTTAACATGAACACTACTAGTCGAGTGAGAGCATATGGCGAACTGTCATCTGCTTTTACAGCCTTAATTGGTGTCCGTCAAGACTGTCTACTTTTTCCATTCTTGTTCTAGTTACTAATAGAAATAACGCTCTTGTCGACTGAATTTTCGGGCATTGATCGCCTTTCAAGAGGTCCACTTATCGACTTAGAATACGCAAATGATATAGTCTTGTTTGGCGAAGATGCTGATAAAATGCAGTCTTTTAGTAGCTTTGAGCAACAATGTCAGGATGTTTGGGATACGCTTCTCTCTATCCAAATACAAGTTGTTGCCTAAAGACTGGCCTGTGTCAACACCTGAACTAACAATAGGGACTGAAGTAGCCAAACGCATTGACAGCTTCACTTATCTTGGAAGTCTGATCAGCTCTAATGGGTTGGTGTCTGACGAAATCTCAACACGGATTCGAAAAGCTCGTTTGGCTTTTACGAGCTTACGTCACCTATGACGAAGGCGAGATATCCGTCTATCAATTAAGGGACGAGTATATTGCACGGCAGTTCGTTCTGTTCTACTTCACGGCTGCAAAACGTAACCATTAAGAGTAGAAGATACTCGTAAGCTACTAATATTTGACCACAAATGCCTTAGAAATATTACTCATATCTGCTGGGATCTCCTGGTAAGTAATAGTGAGGTTAAACACTGGGTATTAGGTAATGATGGTAAATCAGTTGATGAGGTTGTCAATCTTCATCGACTAAGATGGTTGGTCCACGTGTTTCGTATGCCTGAACACGGATTAACACGACGTGCAATGCTGACTAGCGTTGGGGATGGTTGGAAGAAAGTTAGGGGCGACCAAACCAAAACGTGACATCAGACCATAGAGTCACTCACTTCTGGTCCCAGCCACGTTGGTAGATGCAGACTACTTGGTTAGAGTCCGTGCAACTATCGTAACCAATGGTTGGAGTCTCTGAGTGACGTGGCTCAGAATCGATCACAATAGCGTAGTGCTATACGCTCTCTGTCTTCCCTTAAACTGTGAGATTAAAATTGCTTCATATCGTTCTTCCTACGAACTAATTCTTTCTTCTCGTACTATATCCTTGTACATAATCTTTCTTTTCATATTACCACCATTGAATTAACTACTTCTATCAATTCGGTGTTCATCTTGTTGTGTTAATGAGGTATGGCAACTTGGACCGGTGTATGTATGTGCATGGTCCTACATTGTAGCTGACTGACTGAGATTTAACTGCTGTCTAATTAAAGGAGGCTTAATTATATTTTGTTTTTTTTTTTACTGGTCGAGTAAATTCGTCGTATACGATTGTTATTAAAATGGCTTTATGTTCACTGTAACCGAACAAAAGAATCTATCCTCATGAAGTGTATTTGATATTAAGTGAAGTTGTGCATGTGAGAACCAATAAATACCTTTAAATTTTCAGACCAGTAATGTTGTTCATGGATTTAGGTAATCATGTAAAAACACGAATTCCTGTTCTCTCATAGGCTTACTAAAATCTCTTTCAGCACCAAATTATACTTTGTGTTTCTTGAAAACAACTAAAGTGACATTAATATTTTGTGTTTGAATATGTATAGTGACCTAATGCTTTAACACACGTTCTTTTACTTAGAAAAGAGAATATCAAACCATCGAATAACGATATCGTAACAACTACTCCTGTATCAAAAGAAGTTTTTGATGATGTTTCAAACTCTTCCGCCCATGATCCATGCTCTGTCTCTGAATTTCGTGTGCTTGCGGACATGGAAACAGCGCGACTACTTGCGTTATGCGGAGATTGGAATTGTGTTCTATCCGAGGAATGTGATAATATCCCAGAAAAAGGTAGGTGTTCAATTTTTACGGACATATATTTTTTAAAATCCTGTTTTGTCTTTTTATTTTATAATTTATTAATAAATGCCTAAAATATTATAATAAGCACGGCACCTTACTAGTTATAACACTGGACTTTTAATCTGTAGATCGCTAGTTTTAACCCCTCTCCTACTCGCTTTTTGATGCTGAACAGTATTATTAACCCACACAAACCATGTAACTCAAAGCTGAGTGCACAGATCTTAAACTGGTACGTGAGTTGTATCAAGAAAGACACATTGTACGCATGAACTATATAAAATTTCAATCTTGTTCAGATGAAGCTCGAAAGATTTTTTCAAAAATATACCCTCTCCTTAAAACTAGTACTGTTACAGTGACATCGAATTTCTGTTGTTTTATATCTAAATTTTATTTCTAAACAGCATACTTAAGTATATTTTAATCTGAATTACAAGCTTCTAAATTTACTCCTTGTGTATGTGGGGGTTCTGTTGTCTACAAATCATGTATGTAAAAAAACGTGATCTGACTACGCATCACCCCACTAGTACAGTTCTGTGAATTCAATGTAATCCATTAGCTTTATTCAATTCCCTCTACTCTCTGTTTGTGTAAAACGCCTACTATTACTCAACGATTTCATTGTTAACAGTAAATGAATTCAAAGTAGCTTAATAGCCACGTACAGAATATACGTAGATGACAATAAACTACGCATATTATGTAAGAAATTAACATTTGTGATCTGGTAATTGAAGGTTGAGTGCCTAAATTAGTAAGTGAGCTTTTGAAATTTCTGCACAAGTAACTAACAGTTGAAATGAGATCTAATAGATTATTGTTAGTAATTTTACTGAAGTTGTCTGCACATTTTCTGTTGTTCTTTTCTCTGATCCTATATTTACTTGTCATACCTTTCATTATCTCATAGATCTAGTCTATCTTCGTATGTTTATGAATCACCGGACGACCTAGATGATGAGCTCCTGAAACTGTACTTGTCTTGATGTTGACTCTGTTCACTATTTCAATATATTCTCATTCGAATTAATATATATCGTGACGTCTGAAATTATGTTGATATTTATGAAGGTGAAGAGGGTGGCAACTTGGTTGGATCTAATATTTGTGGATAAAATTTGATTGAGAATAGTTTAGTTGGTGTTTGATTATGAACAAGATAATCTTAAGTACTGTTAGAGGTATGAGGTCAGTTATCGCTTCCCGGCTGCCCATGCCGTAAAAGGATACTTGTTGAAGTAAATGCAAAAGGGACTGGGTTATGAGTGTGATCTTGGTAGCCTGGGAATGTTACCGCGGTGTTCAAATGACAACTTATTGAAACTAGTCACATGGCCTTTTTCTGAGTAGTTTCAGGTGAAATAGCTCAGTACTTTTAAGGCTTCTCCTCTCTCGACGAAAATTTGTGAATCAAGGTGGTGTGCTATTTTTAGGACCGAGCTTTTTTTAACTCTCTCTTCCTGTTGGAGGAAGGTAGCATCGCTTTAGATACTAATTGTCTGAGAGAAACACCGTACTGGCATCACATCCTTATACAGTCGGTAGTACGACTTTGCCCTTTGACCACGAGTTTGCTACTCTGTCTCACTGCTCTTCAACCAACCTGCTTGACATGGCAGGACCTAAGGGGACACAATTTTCGGGCGATGTAGCTCAGTTGAGTCATCAGGACATCCAAGCCTGATCACCATATCAAGGTAGCAACTACAGTCACGTAAATAGTAGGCAAATAGGCCAACTTAACGACTTCGTATTATGATACCACTGTTCCAACAACCCATTAATCATATCTTAGTTAGCTACATATCATTCTTAGTAATAATGAAAAACAGAAAGTAATGGCATGGATTTCGCCTCATATCATTGTAGTTCTCAGGCCTTTTTTCTCACTAATTGTTGTGATAAAGTGGATTGGTGTGCTTTTGTGAGAAAAGTGGTGGTTAAATGAGTATAGTTTTAACCTAAACAATTTTGTATCATTTAAGTGTGATGCCTTCTAACTTCACTGCTTTACGTTTCTTTTCGCATCCACAGCACTTGACTCAATCAGGGCAACCGTTGGAAAATGTCAATTATTGTTGCAAAAAAAGTTGCCATTTTTCAAAAGCCTTATTGAAATGGCAGAAACAAGCATTGGAAAATCTGACACACTGTCGAATAGTGCAACAGCACCAGAAGCCACTATAAATGATCTCTTAGGTTATTGGACCTTAGTAGCTGATGAAATCAGTTTATCCGATAGTGCTTTCGAACGTCTACGTGTTTGGCGTGATGAGTTACATTGGTCAATTGATCAGTGTCCTGTTACCCCAGCCAGGTCACAAATTGTTAAACGACGTGGTCGTCTATCTAAACAAATAAAACGCTTACCAACTCCAAAGAGTAATAAATCCAGAAAGTCTCAATCTGTCAGTGATGAAGTTTTTAATACGGATAGTGTAAATCCCTCTCTTTCAAAAAAGCTAGGTTCAACTGTTAAAGCAACCAAGGTATTTATTGTCTTTTATTTACATTAAATGGTTCATCTACATCGTTGAGTTAAATCCCAGATGTTCCAATCAAAATTCTTCACACCGTTTAGATATTGATACTGTATATTCATAAGTACTAGGTATTCGCATTGGTTTTTTTTTTAAATACCGTACGGAATCATGTTACTGAAATGATGTTTAATGGTTATGCGGACATGTATGCTTAACCACGTATTATTATGTCCTGCGAAGCTGTAAAAAATTAGCTAAAAGCACAACCTTTAGTTCTCACATTGACTGCGGTAAATATTAAATTAAACAACTATTCTTCATTCCGCAGAGTGTCACCTTTTAATCTTCCAAGGCCTCTATTTCCTTCAGTTATTCTGAGCATCGGTAGGTAGTTGTCAATATGAAAACCTAGTTGACTCGTAAATGTTGATCGTATGCATGGCGTAAAACAACATTTCACTTGATAAATAAAGATTCTATGTGATCAAGTTACGAAACTGAACCTACATTCTAATTATACTAACAAATCGTAATGGTACTTCGGTGATAACAAAACACAATGAGTGGTTAAACTCCATTAGGTATGTTGGATGCATGAGAAATTCGCATTTTGCATGGAATTATTTATCCGTTCTCTTGCAACTTTAATGGTGACCTTGATTGGTATGTATTAAGTCGACTTTCGCTGTCTGGATCTCATCCATAAAAACATAGGTATCATCTTCCAGTCAACAGGTTTAAACCATAGCCCGATGCTACTTTCAGATCTATGTTTAGGATCTGTCATCGTCGATAAAATTAAAATAAAATGGCTAGACCTGGTAACTTTTTCTCTTGCTGGATTTCTGAAATAATGGATAAAAATATCTCAACTGCATCTCTTCATGTGTCGAATCATATGTCCTTTGAAGAAAACAACCAACTCCTTAAGAAACCCCTTTAATACTATATTCTTTTTACACAAGGTACATCCTCCGTAGAATAATGCAGATGATCTAAAATGTACGCCATTGAAAAATCGCATATACCTAAAGGCAATGACAATAACATGTATGGGTCTTGACTGAATTTCTATGGTATTTAGACATTCACACTAATGAATCATTGAGTTGTAACCTGCGTCATGTTCAGATCTTAGCTGTGATTGAATCCCATCAATTGAATTGTAATATACCCTTTGATCTAAGTAATACGATGTTGCGATTCAATGGTTATGTTGTCAATTTTCCGATTGTGATACTGATTCACAAGTTTCTATACGTAAGCCAAATCAACTACTTGAGTGAGAAAATAGCTTTTATTGGCTAATCGAGTTAGCATTTATGTATAGTCGTCCATATGTGTGTGTATCCATTAGAAAATTAAGCCACTAATGGAGTATATCTCATATTTTGATAACTTACACTTATTATTTGGCGGTGTCCGAGCAACCCAATGTATCGTAGGTTTGATGCTTGATGAACATAGGTAATGAACGAATGCCTTGATCCTACATACCATGTTTGTTGATATTCATTGGTAGGGCTTGTCGGCAGTTTTGTTCACTTCATTATTGCAAAGCTTTAACATGGATATTGTTTTTTTTGCCGTTAACATTCTCGATTTAAGGCTTTTTCTATCTCTGTTCACAAGTTTTCAACTATAATTTAGGTATGATATTTTGTAAATGGTACAGAACCATAGTATACAATTGGTGTTTCATGTGAGAAAACTACCACATACGTTATCCAGCCACCGGTAACATATATCAATACATACCATGCGAAATGGAGTCCGTGTAAATTCAGTTGTAATATGTTCAGTATACTGTAATTTCTATGTGAAATTAATGAAGATGTTAGGTGACGCTAACAATACATTTGAAAGAAAATATGTAGGTCCTTATTACTATATGCGAGAGAAATACACCCAGATCTCGGTAAACCACTACAGTTTAGTGCATTATCAAGTGTAAATGTTTCCAATTCATAATATGATCCTGTTGACTCAAAATTCAAGTTTTCCACTCACTGTTTTCTTTTGGGAATTAAAGGGTGTACAGAAAAAACCGGCGAAGTCTAGATTTGCTGAATTTCTGCGAGCTAAAAAGGCACTAACAGTGGAAGGTAAGCACAGTGTCTATTTCTTTTATTTGCATTCATTTGTAAAACTGTTTCTGTTCGAAAGTTATTCTGTTCAGCTCTTGCTGCTCTTTCTTAGACCTAATAAAGGTACTTTCTTCAACTGCTTATAATTTTTGGAATGGATTGTAGTATATTCACTTATCTTACCACTCTATCAGGTTTTTATTATTGAAATGGTTTTCTAACTAATCAGTTTGTGATTGTATACTACACCTTTTTCAGCTGATATTAACGTAGATATTCATTCTGACGATTGGCCTAGTATTCTCTTCACCCTGTATACCTTATTCTAAGTTTTTAAGCCAAACTCGAAAGCATATTTGCATGTCATTTGGAAAATAACATTGTTATGGTTTTCGGCTGTTAATTTAAAAAACGGGACAGACATTCTTTGTCTGGATTCCAATAGACAGTTTTCTGTATTCCATCCGATCAAATAATTCTATGAGACCTCTGAAATAGGGATGCACGCCGTCGTCTGCCTGTACCTCCACTGATCACAGCATTGTTTAAGTAAGAGATAAGTTCCATCAAAAACCCTCCGAACTTTTCCATAAGGCTGCACGCTCGGACGTAGTAATCAAAGTTGATGCTCTTATATCCGAATGGGTAGGAAGAGTGTCTGAAAAAAGACATCCAGGGTAGTTTTTCAACATAACCGAAAACATAGATAGTTATGATCCCGTCTGCTTTAGTTTTGCTCAAACAACCACTTAGTGCTAGTAATCACCAATTTTAAATATGAGAAGAGACATTATCTGATATGGTGATCCTTCAACATATACTCAACTAAACTCAGAGAAATCGCTACAGGAGGACCTCAGTTTGAAAATGAAAAGGTCTACTTAACAAGAAACTAGCTAAACACGTAATCAGTCATGAAGATAATGCTATTCTCCAATCAGCTAGCTGTAAATTCATCGGTTAGTTTTTGTAACTTAGGTCAAAAGGTAATAAAGTACCAACGGATTTTGAGAACATTTATAACTAATGGGTTTTATGACAAATCGGTTGATGGGACTGTAAATCTTTATCTACTGAAGTGACTGGGACGTGTTACATATTCTCAGTCACTCCCTAACCCAAAGTTCAATATTGTCTGACGTAAGAGCCGTTTAAGGAAAAGGCAGGTTTGAGCAAATTAAGACGAGATTTTAGTTCACAATTCCATTGTCCGTTGATCAGAGCGGCTTCGGGACGTGCAAACTTCCAGGTTGGGACTTAAAAAAATAATTGTTACTTATGGTTTTGGATGTTGAGTGACAATGCCCAAAATCAAGCTGCTGTGACGCATTTGCTTTCATTCTTCTTTTGTGTATCGTAGTTTCCAATGTTATTCCAGTCTTTAATCCTTCTCGAACCATGTTTAGTTTTCCTTAGCATCAAATTGATATTATTATTATTATTCCGACTAACTAGATAAATTCAGAACACTTGTATTTACCCTACTACTGTGGAATCAATCTGAAATAGTTTATTTTGGCTGATTAATGAAATCGTCATTTCCATATCAAAGAATCTCTTTATCCATTGATGAGTCGGTTTTCGTAATGCGTCATTCCATGATTTACTACTGTATCAAATGAATCCATAGTTTTGATAAGCCTTTCATCTGCGTGGATTTTAGTTTTACAACTTCAATGTTTCCCAATCAGAATTTACAAATGATTGACCATTGAGCCATGATGACTTGCCTGGTGGAACCCATTATCGATAAGAGTTTTTCTTAAGAGGTTGAATTCGTCATCTGTGGCATCGGTGAATGCAAATTCTTTGTATTCGTATAGCAAAAGATGATTAAAGTTTTTCTTTCCTTCTCAACTTTGCGATTAACTTCATTAACTGAGATAAAATAGATCATGTATTGGTATGATTACATAAATAAGTTTTTATTCTATCCCGTTTTCGTTTATTCTCATTTCTCCACAGCGACACCTACTGATCATGGTCAACACCAATCTTATCACCAAAGTGAAAATATTGTTGATACACTCTCACCTCTTGGTTTACATCCAGTTGATAGGAATTTCACTATTCAAAAATAATAGAGAAATAAAAAATTAACGTATATTTTTATTTTGACTGGATTGTACAAACAATTACTACTTATTTTACAGTTGTTAGTCATGATTGTTCACGGACTGACTGACATTTTCGTAAACCAAAAATCTGTCCCTCTATCTCTCGCTTTCTCTTCCCACTAGTTTATTGTTCTCTTACTAAACGTTTATTCTCTGCTTTTGCCTCGTTGTCATTTATGTTATTTTTAGTAATTATTGTTACCATTATCGTCATTATTCTTATTATCATTACTGCTTATTGTTCATCCATACTATGTTTTATGGTTTGAGAAAAATCAGATACGTTAATATCATTAATATAAAAACGTACGATGAAATATACTTTACTATTATGTCATTATTTTGTGATTTACTGGGCTTAAAATTTGTGTAGTAGTAGTAGTAGTAAAGTAGTATAGACAATGTATTCAAATGCCTATCACTATTTGTTTTAGTTAGAGAAACTTTAAATTTTTTAGGAAAACATGTACAACGTACAACTTATGAAAATATAAAAATTTCAATCATCATAAGAATATTATTATTGGTAATGATTGTTTTTCTATAACTTAAAGATGAACTAACGAGATATCTAGATTTAGTCCTATAGATTATTCTGTGAAATGTTCTGATGATCATTAAAAATGTACCTGGAAAATGGTCAGAATTCTAAAGATGACCCCCAAATGCCCTGGTATGGCCGAGAGTAGGGTGGGCCCGCCCTCCCTCTCGAAATGCTCTCACACGACCACGTGTATACAGCCTCTGCCAGAGAAGTCCTACTCACTGCCTTCTCGTGGCGGGGGTGTTGTTTACGAAAATGAGAGGACGAAAAGCGAATGTCCGGCGCTTTAACCGGATTCCAAAACAATGGTGCACGTGGGCTCCAGTATCCTGAAGGAACAAATGGCGTATGAGTCAGTCAGTCAGTAACAACGTAGAACTTCGTACGTACGTACATCAGTTCGAGTTGCCATACCACATTAGCACAGAGATGCAGTTGTCGATTCAAATCCGTAGTGGTAGAGGTAATAAGAGTATAAGCAGTAATCGGGAAGATTAGTGTTTGGAGATGTTACTTAAAGAGTATAATACAGTGAAATGAATTTGAGAGGAGAAAAAAAAGGGACAAGGAGGAATAAGGAGATCAAAATTTGGGAGAACACAAAGAGTGGATGCACCTGCGCCATTGCAAACGATTTTGAGCCATGTCATTCAGGGTCTCTAACCATCGGTTGCTATCATCTCGCGGTCCCCAACCAGGTAGTCTACACCTACCGACATGACTCAGTCCACTTGTCAGTGACTTCATGGACTTGTGCCATGTTTTGGTCTGGCCGCCCCTAGCTTTCTTACAACCTACTCCTATACCACTGAACATCGCACGTCGAGGCAGTCAGTCGTTGGGCATACGTAAAACGTGTCCCAGCCATCTCAACTTCATCAGTTGATTTGCCATCCTTGCCTAGTACCCGTTTCCTAACAACTGTGTTACTTACTCGATGGTCCCACGATATACGAGCAATATTTCGAAGACACCTATGATCAAATACTAGTAACCTACGAATATCCTCTACTCTTACCGGCCATGTTTCACTGCCATAAAGTAGGACGGAACGAACTGCTGCACAGTAAACCCGTCCTTTGGTTGATAGACGGATATCTCGCCTACGCCATAAATGACGCAAGTTGGTAAAAGCTAGTCGAGCCTTCTGTATCCGTGCTGAGATTTCGTCACACACCAGACCACAAGGGTTGATGAGACTTCCAAGATAAGTGAAGCGATCGACACGCTCAATTACTTCACTCCCTATCATTAGTTCGGGTGTCAATGCAACCCAATCCTGAAGCAACATCTTGCATTTCGAGGGAGAGAATCGCATCCCGAACATGCTTCCATTGTTGCTTAGAGTGGTCAGAAGACTCTGCATTTTGTCAGTGTCTTCACCAAATAGAACTATGTCATCCGCATATTCTAAGTCAACAAGTGAATCTCCCGGTAGAAGTTCAACCCCTGTAAATTTAGATGAGGAGAGTGTTATCTCTAAAAGTACGTCAATGACAAAGTTGAACAAGAATGGAGATAGTGGACAGCCCTGACGAACACCACTTGAGGTAATCAATTCTGATGACAGTTCGCCATAAGCTCTTACTCTACCAGTTGTGTTCGAGTAGAGAGCCTTTACAAGTTTAATGTACTTCTTTGGTACTCCTTTCAGTGACAAACACTGCCATAGAACCTTACGATCAACAGAGTCAAATGCCGCCTTAAGGTCGAGAAATACTACCATTGTGGGGCATCTGAATGTGTGTCTGTGTTCTAGAACCTGACGTAGTGTGAATATCTGATCTATACAACCACGTCCAGGTCGAAAACCAGCCTGATTTTCTCTAGTCTGCTCTTCACGAGCTTTGGTTAGGCTTCCATGGGACTGCATCTCTTCACGTTGCTCCACTGCGTTGTGGGTCAGACCTTTAGGTCCAAGGCTCGGGGTGTGGTCCCCTAAGAAAACCACCTGTTTCGGTCTGGGCACCCGGGCAGTATCCCAGCCCTTACACAAATCGAATGATTTATGTGGCGCATATGTATTTGGTGCCTCCTTGTACCAATGTTTATGTGTTTAAATAAATATGTTGCGAAATGGATAGATCATAGAATACTCGTCTGATCTTTTCGAAAGTATCGTGAACTAGTTTGATGGTAACATTCGCGCTGCTTTTCTTTCATGTCACTAGAAAATCGAGTATGATGATTCAAACAGTGTTTTAAAGCTAACAGAATAGATTATTTTTTCACAACTGGTGGTAAAACTGGAACGATCAAGTTTGATAAAATAGTTATAAACCGAATAAGCGATTCAATTAAAGAAAGGTACTAGTTAGTGTTATGAAACAGGTATTAAGGCATTTGTAAATATGTTTAAACCGCCTACACCAAAAGTGATACTGCTTTAGGGTTAGCATCGAAGAGTAATGTAGTCGTACATTAACTGGTTACCAAGTACATGGCCCATGTTTATGAAGTATGACCCACTGCTCCTAAATATGAAATATCAGCACATTTTTCAGGTTTATAGAGCACAACTCTTAAAATCAAGAACTTACTTCCCCATAAGCTTGTTAAAGCACATAGTGAGGAAAAGGTTATAAATCTCGCTAAGAACTTACATCTTCCTACTTATGTTTGTGGGGTTTCATTTGATGACAGTCTAACAGTATTAGTAATCACCTTATATAAATAGGAATTCCAAACTATTGTCACGGTTTCCTAACGTCGCATAATTTAAAAGGTTATACTAAAGTAGACTAACAGAATTCAGTCTAATATACAAACAGGATGTGTGCTATCGCATAACAGAGTTTCCCTTACCAAAATGGAATGATGGTAAAAACATGAATGAACTGTCTGTGCAGTTTTTCCTAAATATATGTAACTACTAACAAGTAGTTAGTGAATAATTACAAAAGTTTGATCTGAGCTAAGATTCACCACATACAGTCTGGTTTCTGATTAATGAATTTTACCCCGAATGTAAACTATCCAAAGTTTATATTTCCTATAAATCAAATCTAAATCGCACAATGTTGCGACCCATTTATATCAGATAGTAAGGAGGCTACTTATATCAAGACAATATGTTAGGGTAAAGCATTTTGAATACTAACTAGTCAAAATATACGAACTCAAAGCTTGACAAATAGGAACATATGAAAAACAATATTGTTGATATCACAGAATTTTTCCCATTATTCAAATTGTGGACTTAATATTAGATACAAACGTCTTTGAACATATAAAGGAGGTTCAAATATTCGTTTGACTTAACTTTCAACACATCATCCTATTCTCACGTTCATAAATTACTACATAGACTGTTCATGGGTCGGTTCTACAGTGCGTTTCTAATATATGTTTAACGATGGAAAAGAATGAAGGCTTATCACATACTCTTAGTTTGATTTTGCGACTATTAAGGTAATTCTTTAACTAGCGTTAGTAGCATATCACGATTAGTCCTATCTATGTATGTGATTCGACGAACACAGTAGAATATGATGCAATCCTTTATAAACTGTTAGAACCTCTAGTTGATTGTAGAGTTTGTCTATTCAATTATCCTTATCTTGATCATGTAAAATACTTAAAGTCAGTGTAGACTTTTTTCAGGTACAGTGGGCTTCAACATTTTGCGATCTCTGTGCTAGTTTATGAATTTTGCTATCGATTACGCAACATTACTTAAATGAGCAGCTTCACTTCATCTAGATGCCGTAAATCAAGACAAGATAACCTGGAATAGGCTGATACATATTTGTGCCAAGTTTAACACGAAACTAGACCTGTAGAATGGTTTGTCTAGATTCTATAGATGGTATTCAATTTGTAGATGGATGTATAAGATAATTTGTTCTAATAGCCTTTTCTGTCCTTTGTAATAATCACGTGATAACCCTCTTGAATAAAAGAATAATAAATTACCAGTTACGGTTCTACGCTGTTTCTAGTTGTCTCTTCCAAATCGTCTACTCTAAGATTTCAAGGCAAGTAAATTACTTCTGAAAGAAATGACTGAAATTACAGAAAAAAATCCCTTGTTTAATGCTAAAACCAACATGCTTCGATAAAGATATAAATTGAAATTCACGGACTAAGGGAATCAATATCAAAGCACACAATTGTTATCATTTATTAATCTTAAAGGGAATAATATTTAGTATAAATTTTTCACTTATAACAACTCATCAGAGTTAGCAAATATTGATTTTCAAAATATCAAACAGCTTGT